AGCGCAGTTATTAGCAGTCCTTCGGATCAGCGCTGGCATGCGCCTGAGCAATGAAGAAACCAATGCCTGGCTGCTATTCGTCACTCGAACAGATCTTGACGACGATCGCTACATTTGTACAGCACTTTCTGTGATTATTGCCTGCCCACAGTTAATACCGTAAGTGTTTTATTACATATTCTAATTGAAGCACAGTAACATTAGTTCGTACAATTGAGGTTTTTTTTTATGTTTCGCATGCTTCAGCTTTCCCTGATTTTCTACTTTTTTATGCGTTTTGTGCTGTGTAAAAGCAGTACAAAACGCGTATTGTCACGAGGTTGTCTGTGTGTGTGTTTGCAACTTGTCCACAACTTTCAACTCGGGAACCGCAAAAGCTAGAAGGCTGAAAATTTAGGGGAACGTTCCCCACCCACGTGTGACCTTGCAAATTTAAATTCAGCTTCTCCGTACCCGCGGGTAACGCATACGGCCCCGCGAAAGTTTTTTACGGGTAAGTTAATATCTCGGGAACCACGGAGTCTAGGAGGCTGAAATTTTAGGGTAATGCCCCATCTGCCCACGCTCAACCTTGCCCATTCAAATTCAGCGTTTTCGTGCTCTCGGTTACCACCTACGGCCTCGTGAAAATTTTGTCGGGTAAACTATTAACTCGGGAATCACGAAAAGATGTTCACCTTTCAAGGTTCCGAATTCAGCTTTCGTGCGCTGGTGCGTGAAATTTTTGACTGTTTTTCAATGTTTGAACTATTTTTGCATAGACTAAAGTACAACACAGTGAAAATCATTAATAGGAAGTCGTTCGATGGGCTGAATTGCACAAAACGCATGATCGCATCGGCTAGTTTGGTGCGTGCTGCTATTTATTTTTTTTTTTTTTTCGAACACTGTGACACTTCTGTATAGTGCGGTTGATTGACAGTCTTCTCCTTTCCTCCCTTCGTTTGTCTCGCCCCTCTACTGATCCTCTTCCCTTCTACTACTAAGCTAGCAGTCAGGCTCTTCCCCATCGGCCCATCGCGCGGTTCCGCGGTCTCCGTAACCCAATAATTGTTATTCTCTTCTATCATTTTTATTACTCTGTCGTTGATCTCTTCGTTATCCTATTTTCCTCTTTTTTTTTTTTGGTTCAAATTCAGCTGCAATTTTGGTGTATTTACTGGAGGAAGCGTCCCCAGCCTCCAACTGATGGCCTGAATTTGTCGATAGAAAAATCACTTTCTTTACGATTTGTTGATTGAAGAGAACTCGATGCTGAAATACGCCATCGAGTCAGATTTACCATCAGCTTTCTTAAAAAAAATTACTGTTAGAAGAAGAGGGCGACATTGGCAGTTTGTCGGTGGATAATTGCTGTTGGCAAAGTGTTCTCCTTCAAGAACTTTTGCCTGTTCTTGCGAGTAACACGTAGGAAATTTTGTAATTTTTATTGCTGTTACATTCTGCTACTTACATCTTTTTTTTTTGGGGGGAGGGGGAGGTGGGGGCGGGGGGAGGTATTTAGATTTCAGTTTCGAAAGTTCAATTAAGCTGATACTTTGTTTTGATTATCTTTCGTTTCACTGTACTATATCTTTCACTGATTAGCCCGGCTAGCAGCCCTACCATGGACAATGGCCAGTGCTGCATCACCTGGTGGTCAGTGATCTGTCCAAAGATTATGCCACAGTTATGTGCAACTTGTTAGCTGTTTGTTCAGGACGCATTTGGGTGATGAGAAGGAAGTTGAGGCATCAATAATAGCATTTTTGGATTGGCTAAAGCAGCGCACATCATCGAACTCGTCGCCTGCGCTGCAGCAGTTCTTCATTCTCTTATCCATTCATTTACATGCCAGCCAAAATGAACAGCTCGCCGCTCTCATCTCCAGCGTTCTCGCCTTCAAGGTAAGCTCAATTTTTGCAGTTTTTGCAATTTTTTTTTGAGATCTTAATGGTCATTTTTTACAGTTTCGTCGTTCCACTCCCATCCGACCAGTTAGGCCATGCGCGATATTCTTTTTATGATTTCTTTGATAGAATTTTCACCATATGGTACTCTTAGCATGCTGCTAATCCCTTTTTTGCCCTTTAATAGATTAATGCGGGAATTAAGCGCCCCTTGATCATATTACTGAACAAGTAGATCCTTCTGTTAATGGATCAAAATTCAGTGCTTCTGTAAAGCGTTGAATTTTGATCTATTAACAGAAGGATCTACTTGTTTGGCAATATTGGTATGTGTTATTTGGCGCCCATTGTCACTTTTCATCTTTTCGTTCATCTTACAATAAATTGCGAAAAGTATGGCTTTCTCAAAGCTATTTATTTGGTCAGCCAGTTGACCAGTTAGCAACCTACACTCCTGACTGTTTTGCAGCATCCATCGCCCTCGCAAATGATGTGTACAAGTTTACCTATGAGTTTTACAAACATTTGATATGAAACTTCTGGTTTCAAGCAGTTTTGAGTAAAAAGTCTTCGCTTAAAAATTAAAAGCCCTTCCCCCCTTATTTATTCGGCATGAGAGACAGAGGAATTTAGCAAGTGGTAGCTCGCGCTAACAGCAGTCACCTGCTAGGAAAGCTGTTGATGGCCCCATCTTTCGAGTGTTGTTCAGAAATTTTTGAAAAAAAGTAGTTTATGTGCAGCACAATTCAAAATACTTCATTTAGGTCAGCGTCAACGTAAGAAATCTTACAACGCTGAAGACATTATTCCTTCGTCATGCAACAACCGAACGCGATATAGTTGAGCGCGCCGCGCAGATGGCTATCACACGTTCGCTGAGTTTGAATCACCAAGGATTTCTTCCGGCCCACTGCATCACGCAACTCCTCTCAACCAATTCATTTTTAAAACATTCTGTCCCCATTCGGGTTAGTTTATGCCTTCTTTTTCAACTTTACCTTTTGCTTAATAAAATAAATGATTTTCATTTTAATTCTTATTATAAAAGTCTTATTATAAAAGAACCTTCAAAATCCTTATTATATAATTATTATTATAAAAATACCTTCATTTTTTGATTAGTGCCGGCGTTTTGTCACAGTTTCGTGCCATGAGTGTAGCTAGTAACTTCTCCGTGATTATTTCGGACAAATAACGCATCGCCTGATGATCGTGGTGTTTGCTCTCATACTTTTCCTTTGTTCATCTTAAGAAGTGTTAGGTATATTGTGTTTTTTTTCATTGTTTGATTGAGTTATAGCAGTCCTCTTTTTTTTCGTCGCGGTTGTTGTTATTCACAGGATGCGTTTTATCAGTTTTTAGCTGTTTAGAATTTCCGAGAAGCGTAGAATTTCGAGAACTACATAAAGAAATATGCCACCACACTGAGAAGTGTGCGTGTAGCTCTCCCTATAAGAAGACAGTGTAATAAAATCCTTCAGCCGACTTCATTTCGTATGTTTATAATTAGATGACAATTAAATTAATATAGGTACATCAAAAAGGTTTTTTTTCAAAATCCGAACTTTATAACGTTAGCATCAAATATCCAGCGAATGCTGCTAAAGATCATCAGCGAAATGGAGTTACATGGCAAGCTGAGCGTGGAAGCGCTAGTTGCTTCAATATTAGGGGAAAGCATAACGAAGATTGATGGAATGAATGTTCGATTACTTACAGGATTGGATTGGAGCGCAGATACTCAATTGTGCTACACCACTGCATCCTGTTATGACACATTTACTGAAGGCATATGCTTCGAGCTGTGTTACGGTTTTTGAAAATAAATCCCCAAATACGCCATTCTCGGAAGAGTTTATACTGGTAAGTTCACAAAAACTAACCTAAGGTTATTGCACTTCCGGCTAAGGATTAATCTACAGCTATAGTGAAAAGCGAAATGATGGTATGACGCGTTCTAAAGGCAGTGAAATACTCATATCAGGTCATTACTGTGCAAGTTTTAATCCCGAGGTTTTCCAGCGTAATCGAAACTGGAAAAATTAGGGGGAGAAAGGGGCGGGGGAGGGGAGGGGGAAGGGCAGCAAGCGTCCTTCCACTTAATTTTTCAAGGAAAGTGCTGTCTCCAGCAAGTGAATTCAAGACTTTAAAGATTGCTTTTGCTTACATTTCTTTTTTAATGGATTTTTAAAGTTTTTAAAGACTACGATTTTCCAACTTGTATTTATGATGAAAAAGCTTTTTAAACTACAGGTCCAGTAATCTTAGCATTATTTTCACAAGACTTATAATTTCTTTGTAAAAGTTGCTGTGTTTTACTTCAGAAAGTTTCTTATAACATATTTTGAAGATTCGAAGTAAGGAAGACGAAATCAACTGATTGCAGGAATTGTTCAGCGGTGATGTTATGGATGAAAGTCGGATGGTCCCCCGGCTGCTTATATTTTTCTTCCTTCTCTGTTATCGCAATAGTTTTGAGAGCGTTGCTGCTACTGGCTCTGTTCAGTATTTCTACAGGTATTTTTATGTGTTTTTTGCAGCTATGCAATGCGAAAAACGCATATTGACGAGAGGTTGTCTGTGT